GCTGCGGTGGCCAGGAGCGGCCACTGCACTCCAGTCTGGGCAACAGAGTGAGACTCTAACGCAAAAAAAACAAAACAAAACAATAAGCCATGAAGATCTTTCCTTAGATACATAAAACCCCACTCCATTCTCTTTAACCATTATATAATATTTTATGGTAAGACTAGATCCAAACTGATAACCATTCCCACATTGATCTTACTTTTTGCTGAGGGGAGGGATTTTTATATATATATATATGTTGTTGTTTACTACCACAAACACTGTTGTGCATGCCTTGCTGCATATGTGTGCATGCCTCAATAAACACCGTTGTGCATGCCTCGCTGCATATGTGCTATTATTTGCTCAGGATAGACCACTGAGTCAGAAATGGAATTACAGGGCCAAGTGGTACAAGTTGGCTATCCCTTATCCAAAATGATTGTGACCAAAAATGTTTCAGATTTTGGATTTTTTTCAATATTTTGGGATATTTGCATTATATTACCAGTTGAGCATACCCCTGAAATATTCCAATGAGCATTTTCTTTGAGCATCATGTTGGTTAGAGGCTATAGTGAACTGTGATTGTGCCACTGACTCCAGCCTAGGCAACAGAGCAAGACTCTGCCTCTAAAACAAACAAACTAATGTAAATTTCAGGTAAACAATGAATAATTCTTTAGTATAGGTATATCCAAAACAATATTTGGAACATAGACTGAATATTGCATGGAACATACTTATACTAAAATATTATTCTTTGGCAAGAGACAAAACTCAAAAAGTATGAGGGCTCAGGATAAACCACCCCAAAATATGACTGTAGGAGACCAGAATATGCCACCCCAAAATATACTTTGGCATATATTAAGCTGGGTATTCTTGAAGCTATAAACACAGGAGTAGCTCTGAAAAGCTGATCTTTTATTTAAAAAAAATTCACATCTTTACAGGAAGCCTACATTAGTTAAGTTTCTGTTTCTGACCACCTTTATTCATCATATATTTTCTTCCATAACTTGTGTCACCACCACTCTTCCAAAGGATGCAAACCTCTATTCCTTCCTGTAGCTCAAAATGCTGCAAGCTGTCATCATCTGACTCTTCTTTAAAATGGTTTTTCTCTGTCATTTCCTAATCCATCTTCTGTCAACTTAATTAGTTTCCCAGTCAAAGAACCAAGAAGGGTTGAAGGAAGCCATTGTTCACTCCTCTACAAAGGCAAGGTCTTGTTGGAAAAGGAAAGGTGTGTGCCACACATAGCAGTTTGGACCTCATACTGTAGGCAGGGGAAAAGCACAGTTTAAGTTAGAATGCCTCTGGCTACAAAGTGTAGGACATATTGGAAAGGGAAAATATTCGAGGCTACTGCTAACAGGTGAAGAAGGTAACCAGTGCAGGAAAAATAGAAATTCTGCAGGTAGAACTCACATTTGGTAGAACTGCATGGATGAAAAGAATGGAATGAAAGGTTGAGGGATGGCTATTTTCTTTTTTTAAGGTGTTACTGTTTGGGGTAGAGGAGGAGTACAGGGTAGGGAACTAAGAGCAGAAGTGGAAAAAGAGAGCAGGAGTTTGAATAGTTTGAGGCACTCTAGGGCATCACTTTGGGGCATCCCAGCAATTAGGCTTGGTCTCTAGGAAGCACCCACACAAATAATGAGAGAAGTCACACAAGTGCTTTCTGAAGGAATCTGGATTTTGAACTGTGTTTCAATGTGAGTGAGCAATCAGCATAGTTAAAATCTTCAGATACTGAAGTAATGGTGAACATACACACAAACTGATAGTTTCAGAGATTCTAATCCAAAACAAAAGTCACACCTGCATGAGAAGTACTGGTAACAAGGAAGAAATGAGGCAGGAAGCTACCTAGGAAACAAGAGCCGATAAGCAAGCGAAGTACTGTCCTAGTACCTCCCCCGACTACCCCAGGGACACCCAACAGGGCAGGGCCTGTGGTCAGGTTGTGTTTGTGGTCAGCACATCCTGAAGAAGAAGGAATTAGGTTGCATTGGGGAATCCCCCAAAATAATGCATGCTCAATAATATGAGGCTATATCCTTCAAATGACCTCAAGCTCATTATACCATCATTATAATAAAATTTGCATGAGGTTTTGTCCCCCCTCCCCCCGAGGGCTTTTCTTAGCAGATTATGGATATTGCACAGTGATAGAGTTACATAAAGACACAAAATGCTATCAAAAATGTCAATCAGTCATTAGAAAGAAACCAACCACTCCCCCTTTACCTTTATAAATAAAAGGCCACAAAATTTGAGAAGCTGGGGCTCTTAAGTCACTCTCATGTTTGAGTTGGCTCCTATCTCTCTGGAGTGTACTGTCACTTTTGCTTAATAATAGTTCTTTGCTTTTGCACTTGGTGTGCTTCAACCAATTCTTTGTTCGAGACATCAAGAACCTGGTAAGCATTGACTTTCCATCCACCTGTCAACAGTAATATTGCTTTCAATATGTAAAAGCAGCCAGGCTTGGTGGCTCAGCCTGTAAACCCGCGCTTTGGGAGGCCGAAGTGAGTGGATTGCCTGAGCCCGCGGGTTCAAGGCCCGCCTGGGCAACTTGGCGAGACCTCA